CACATTGATGTTTCTCTCCCTCTCTTTCCCCCTCCCTTTCCCTCTCTAAAAAATAAATAAATAAAATCTTAAAAATAAACATCAAAATTGGTGAATTTTTGTGCAGCCATTTTAATATTGAAGGTGGAAGAAAATACGCAACATTTTGGCATATTATGCTTTATTATTTCAAGAAAGGTAAAAACATAACTGAAACACAAAAAAGATTCATGCAGTATATGGAGAAGGTGCTATGACTGACTGAACATATCAAAAATGGTTTGCAAATTTTCTTGCTACTCTTGACATTTTTGTCAAATAATTCATTGCTGTGGGTCTGTCTTACATATTGGAAGATGTTTAGCAGCACCTACCCCAGCCTCTACCCACTAGAAGCCAATAGCAGGACATAACTAACATACTCAAAATATCCAAATCAATAAAGTTATTGATGAAAATAAAAAATGTGCCTTTCATTTTACAGAAAAAACTAAACAGACTTTTTGGCCAAACCAATACATGTGCGTTACAAGGGAAAGGAGGCTGAGAGCCTTTGCATATTTTGCTCATCTTTGCCTACTTACAAGAATTTTGTTTCTTTCTGGTGTACTTGGGAAAACATCACTATGGATGGAGTGGAGCAAACTTGACTGAGAGTCTTGAGATGTTAGATAGGACAAGTAAGTTTCAGCACAGTTGGAGGACACTGGGATGCCAGCCAGAAGTTCTAGATTATCTGGGGGTAACTTCCCTTCCCAGGGTACATGGTAGTGTAGAAATATCACTCAAAGTGAAGGGACTGTTCACTGTCCCTTAAAATGAGCTTCCCCAAGTATAGGAGACTGTTCTGCATGGCGTGGACCCAGCTCCCACTCAGAGATGCACAGGACCCACGCCCATGGGTAGGTTCTCCCATGGGGAATCAGGCCTGCAGTGTATCTAGGCCACTTTGAGACTTGCTTTTGCTAAAACTCCCTCACCCTGAATTGAGACAGTAAGGGCTTACTGTAACTTCCTAAAGTCCACACTGTGAGTCCCTCAGAGAAACTCTCTGTCTCCTTCTCAATTTTACCCACTGACTGTGTTACCAAAAAACCTCTCAGCTGTCAGATCAAAATGTCAAAAGACTGTCTTCATACATGGTGTGACCCTACCTTAGAGTGACATTTTATGTTGTGAACCAACCATTCCTTTCAGATGGCCCCCTCCTTTGGCCTGTGGCACCCACTTCTCTGTGAATTTCCTGCTGCCTCATTGAAGCTCTCTCTTGGGCTCCACTGTCTTCTTGGGACTCTGTCCTATCTTTTTCTCATTTTATATGTTTCCTGATCAGAAATGATAAATTCCTGAAGAATTATGGGGATGAAGAGGAAGAGATAAAATGTGAAGACCACTTGCAGGGGGTTACAACTCACTCAAGTCAAACATAGGGGGAGGAATCCAAGCCCTACTCCCTGCCCCCAGCTCACCCACTTCTAGGTCAGAAGGAAAAGCCCCTCCTCCAGATCCTACAGCATCCTAAAATACCTCTGCCTTATCCCACTGTCACATTCTTGTAGACTTATTTGTTTGTCTTTCTCACTGGACTGTGAGGTCCTCGAGTATAAGAGGTCCCTGGTACCTCTGCAGAGCCTGACACACAGCAGATATCCTGTTACTGAGTGAATAAAGGAATACAATTCTTATAATATGTGCAAATAAAAATGTAGCAAAAGTTGCCATACATATTTAAAATGAGCTTCCCCAGGTATAGGAGACTGTTCTGCGTGGTGTGGACCCAGCTCCCACTCAGAGATGCACAGGACCCATGTCCATGGATAGGTTTTCCCATGGGGAATCAGGCCTGCAGTGTACCTAGGCTGCTTTGAAACTTGCTTTTGCTAAAACTCCCTCACCCTGAATTGAGACAGCAAGGGCCTATTATAACTTCTTAAAGTCTGTGCTAAACCTCTTCAGTATGGAATGTAACCAGTTCAACCACTTTTTCCTTTGCATTTGCAAATATCTGTCTTCTGTGATGTGATTAATGGCATCCTCTCCTTTGTTTTCTGCAAAAGATAACCACCTAAATCGAACCTGTGCATAGTAAATGAGGACCATCATGTAATGTGGCCAGAAAAGAAATAAAGGCCTATCATGGCAGAGGCCATGGCTTTTTCTCCTCCTGAGAGAGAAACCATGCTGTCCCTTTTCCTCCATAGGACTCAGTAGTCCATGTGAATTTCTTGTATCTCATCCACAATGTGGCGGACCCCAGGAGCCAGGGTCCGCATCACCCAAGATGCTCAAATGCTGCTGCTGGTATTAAAATTTCAAATTCTTCACTGACTACAAGAAAAAGTGAGACTGTCATGCTCTTCTTCAACTTCTTTGAAATTTTTCTCTACTCATAGTCATCAAATCAATGCATTACTTAATCCACAAATGTTCTGCTTATATGGATTTCCTAAACAAAGCCTAAGGGGTAAGGTCATTATCTCTTACAGATTTTGGTATCAACTACATCATGAACACAGTGTATCTGCTTAAAAATTAAACTGATAAATGGATGGATTACTCCTGAACTTGGACCAGCAACTCCAGCCAGATGGGTGGGCACCTTTTTATCTCCTGAACTGCCCTAACCCTTTCTTCTTCAGTCCACATCTTTTCCCTTCCATAATCACCAAAACCCAAAAACTCCAAACTCCTAAAGCACATTCGTACTCATTCACACACTGTATGTCTTTCAGTGACACCCAAATGATTGTGCATTATGAATGTCACATGACTTCAGCTGAACTGTAAGTCTCTGGAGGGCAACTAAGGTGTATTTAAATCTCTGTTATTCTCCCTCTACAATACCTTTCACAGTGATATACATGGAAGACTTTCAGGAAATATAAAACTAACTGGTTTAAATTCTCCTTTAGAAAACACCTCAAACTTTAATGGGAACTGTTCTTTAGAGAATAACTTACTCTGGGCCCCTAAACCTGAATCTAGGGCCTCTGGGCTCCTGAGTTAGAAAACAGTTCCAGTTCCTGGGCCCAAGGTGGGGCTGTCTATCACCTCACCCCTCTGGCTTTAGTGTTCGCTTCAATTACTGTGTTGTTTGGTCACAACTATAAGAGTATTTTTTTAGGCTTATGACATTTTCCCCAATTATGCATGTAATTGATGCCATCAGTTTTTCTTGAAATGACAATCATAGACCCCATAGCCAAGTTGTTTCATCTTTTATGTATAAATGCCAACAAACTGCAGCCTCTTGAATACAGTGCTATATACCTACACAGCAAGTAGAACCCTTTAGGAGGAAATGCATTCAAATCATTCTTCCCTGCTCCCCCCATTAAGAGTGAGGCTAGCTAGTCTCTTGAGTAAAGTCAGAATCCTTAAAAATGAGAAAAAGTAAGAATTCCATTCTGCCAAGATCCCTATAGCATGGCAGATCTTTCTCTATAATCCAGCCTCTCTCTCTCCAGCTGCCTAAAACACAACACTGCAGAGTGGTGACCCTGGGGTCCAAAGTGTCAATGCCATTGCAGAGTAACAGTTTTTGTTGTCAGGTCTGATCACAAACCAGCAGCAACCGCAGCCCGACAGTCTCTGCAGCTCAGCCTTTTCTAGTCAGGCTTGTTACATTCGCTTCCACCCCCAAACCAGGAAGTGCTGTTTCAGATGAGTCAAAGACAAAAGCAATCCAGCCTCAGAAACAAAGGTTCCAGGCTCCAGAAGAGCTATAGAATTTTACGTTTGGGATTGCTCTTTGGTTTGGGTTGGGACCTACAGTTTCCTCCAGATAAAACATTATTAAACTTTCCAAATTGTCACTCCCCCAACCCCAAAGTAAAAATGCATAAAACATACACAAGGGCGCGCGCAGAGACATAACACTAACACACAGACCAATTTGTTTTTGTGATCCGCTTTGTTATCCAGATGGGGCAGGCTTGGGCCAGACTTGAGTTGGTAAATTCTTCCAGCCAAGCCAGATAGATTGTAGAAAAGGAGTCTATTTCTTAAGAAGAAGGGTACAGGGGTAGACGGCCAAGCCGGGTCCCGCTCTCCCGTTGCACGACTACTGCACGGTAAGTCTGGGCAAGTCCAAGAAGGAACCCCGCGACCTCCAGCCCCTCCGCTCTGTGGCCCACAGGGAACCGAGCAGTCCCGGGGAGGGGGTGTGGGGACCGTCACTGAGTGGAGACGGGGGACAGATCGTGTTAAGTTTCAGGCCCGGACCGCTACAGCCAGCCACGGGCAGGAAGGGGAGGGCCCAGCGAGGCTTAGGGCAGCCCCTGCACGGGCTCGGGGTTGGGTCGGAAAAGCTGCCTCACAGGCTCGCCCGCCAGCCCCTCCCCGCCCCAGCCTGTCTTCCAGTCTCCGTTGCGCCCTCCCGGAGGCAGCGGTCTTTGCTGCCCCGCCATGTCTCAGCCGGCCCAGAAGCCCGCTGCCTCCCCGCGGCCCCGGCGAGCCGCAGCAGCCCGCCACACCCAAGAGGTGAGTGGCGCTCCAGCCCGAGCCTCAGGGCTGTGCACTGGGAAAACCCCTACTCAGAAGCGCTGGGCGGCCTCCTCTGTGCGTAGCCTGCCTGGACTGCGGCCCCGTGCGCCCCTTCCCATCCTTGGGCAGGGCGCGGGACTCTGTGCCCGCGGTATGGCAGGTGGCTGGAGGTGGCCAGGGATTCCCCGGCCAGGGCTAAGCGCGCTGGGCGTGGCGCAAGGCGGATAAGTGGGTGGGTCGCGTCAGGAAAAGTTGGTTGGTGAGCCTCGAGTGAAATGATAAGGACTTGAAAGGAGACCAAAGTTTAGTCGGGACCCCCTTCCTCCCCCCCACGCCCCCAGGGTGGGAAGGGGCTTTCAACTGGACTGCGGGATCCTGTCTTCCGTGTAAAGTCAGGGCTGCAGGGCGTGGCAGCCGGGAGCAATAACACAGCTTTTCTAACAAGCGAGGAGCCAAATCTGGGGGGGAGGGGCCAGCCCGTTTGGGGCGGGGCCTGTGTCAGGCTTAGCCCAGGTGCCCGCCCACCTGACGGTTGCTGGACTTGGAGAACTCAGTGCCAGCCAAGTTCAGGGCAGGTGGAGTACGAGCCCCGCGCCTTCAGCACCGCACCCCGATTCCTCGCCCGGTCCTGCGCAGCCCGGCTCAGAGCAAACCGGTTGTCACCATGGCATTCGCAAGTTGGTGGTACAAGACGGTAAATAGAAGCGATCGTTCTCGGGCAGGATCGGGAAGGGAATGTGTTCTCTTTGCCTTTCTGGGCGTGTGGACGAGGTATTGTTCGTCCGGGGTTTGGCGGGGAAGAGATGGCTACCGGGCGCGACCTCCTGTCAGATCTTCATGTTAGTCTTCGGGAGAGGCCGAGACTCACCCTGCAGTGGTATGTGGGAGCGCGCCCGGGCGTGCGAGTCTGGGAGCTGAAGCACCAGGCTCAGCTCGCGCTCAGAACTTGAATGAAACAGGAATTATGCTGGAGGAATTCCGCCCCAGGACGCGGATTCCTGGATGAACTCGGACTCAGCTCTTGAGAGCTAATACCTAGTGTTTGTTTTTTAATCCATGAGTAAAGCTTAAAACTTTTAGAGGAATGGTCTTTGTCGTGCTTTCACCAATGCAAAGGAAGCGAAGCAGCTGGGGTGGGGGCAAGGAGAAAACCCAAATCTCCAAGGAGCAGAAGCAACTGAGTGAGGTATAAGACCCTTGTGTATGTGGGGTGTGGGGCGGAGGAGGCGGGTAGCACTGCTCTGTTATTACTGTACTTTGGATGAGGGACAAATGTGTTCCATTTGTTTAGTGCTTTGAATACCAGGCCAACCAACTAGGTGTGATATCCAGTCAAGCTGGCACTTGTAATGTATAGGAACCAAAAAGCAGGATTTAACAATAGATTGCTCCCCACTCCACCCCTCAAGACACAAACGTTTTGTTAACCGAGTGAAAATATTTATATCTAATCGATTTGTGGAGGATTAAAAAAATTAGTAAAGTACACCACTCTCTACCAGCATGTGGTATGGAAAAAAGCAATGATGTTGTAATTAGACCTCCATTAGAGAGAACTCTTATGTTGGAATTACTAAACTGGCACTTATCAGCAATGACCCTTTTCTGAGCATCTACTATGTGCCAGGCAAAGTGCCAGCCTCCAAGTACACAGTGGAGAACAAGACAATGAGTCAACCTTTTTGAACCTGTTTCCATACCTATAAAATGGAGTCATGAATCAAAGTACCATACCTATATAACTTTAATCTTGGGAACTCCGGTTTCTCTTGAGATACTTCTTCATAAATGTTTCTCATTATGTATTCTGGGCTTTTGTTTTGTTTTTTTTTTGTTTTATTTTTTTTTAAGATTTTATTTATTTATTTTTAGAGAGAGAAGGAAGGGAGGGGGAGAGAGAGAGAGAAACATCAATGTGTGGTTGCTGGGGGTTATGGCCTGCAACCCAGGCATGTACTCTGGCTGGGAATCGAACCTGGGACACTTTGATTCCCAGCCCGCGCTCAATCCACTGAGCTATGCCAGCCAGGGCTGTATTCTGGGCTTTTAAAATGTAGCATCTTATGGATATGTTAAAAGCAAAAGTTTGCTTTCAGTTACTATTGTTCTGAGGTTCTTATCAAAGTGCATCATATGAATTATCTGCAAATATGGATCAGTGGCTCAGAGTTGATCTCAGAATTCTTCCAAATCCATGATTCTCTAAGGGAAATTATGTGGGAATATTTGGGTGAAAGTAGTTTAAATCTATGCTTTTAACTTGTACTTTTAGGAACAGTGTGACATTTTTGCTAAAACCTCTCTTAGAATTCAATTTTGGAACTATTGTATTATAGAAATTCAGTTATAGTATTATAGAAATTCCATAGTAGTATAGAAATTTTTTTTAAACACAGGCATTTGTATTTTCTTTTTTCCTTTTTTTAAAGATTTTATTTATTTATTTTTAGAGAGGGAAGGGAGGGAGATAGAGAGAGAGAGAAACATCATTGTGCGGTTGCTGGGGGTTATGGCCTGCAACCCAGGCATGTACTCTGGCTGGGAATTGAACCTGCAACACTTTGGTTCGCAGCCCAAGCTCAGTCCACTGAGCTACACCAGCCAGGGCTGTAGTATAGAAATTTTGGAAGTATAGTATTATAGAAATTGTCTGCTAGTAGGAACCTCCTAAAATCAGCAATACACCTGTGGCCAAACTTTGACTTTTCCTAAACTAGTGCTGCCCAATAGAAATATAATGCGCCACATACATAATCTTAAATTTTCTAACAGGCACATAAAAGCAAAAATAAATGAATAAAATCAATACTAATAATATATTTTATTTAACCCACTATATTTCAAACGTTATTTCAACACGTAATCAGTATACAAAGCATCTATTTTATATGTTCTTTCTCATTAATTTGTCAAAATCCAGGTCACATTTGAAACATCTCAAGCACTCCACAGGCGTGAGGGACTAATGGCTACAGATTTGGACAATGCAAGTTGGGTTCCCGACCAGTTTTGTGTGGTGGCTGTGGTGGGGATAGCAGACCATCTTGAAAATTAAATGAAAGTTAAGGACCGTTTTTTCACAACAAAACACACATGCACATGCACGTACACACAAAAAGCCACCAATAAATCCCCTAAAGGTCCATGGAGCCAAATTATAACATATATACATACATGATCTATATACATATATACCTATATTTTTATATAATGCATGCATGTGATATATATATTATATATATCATGCTTTCGGTAAATCCTATAACTAAAATACCTTTAATGGTACCTTTTCAATAATTTTTAAACTTTTTTATTATTGTTCAGTTACAGTTGTCCCCATTTTTCCCCTATTACTCTCTCCCCTGCCCATACCCCCCACCCCCACACGCACACATTCAGTCCTCCCTTCCACCCCAGGTGGGACCTTTTAGATATTGAAAAACAGTAGTGAATGACCTAACTATAAAAATCTAGATGGAATAAATAACTAATTAAAAGATGTATCTGTGATGTGTTTGTTTAAGGGAATGCCTCATATAAAGCCAGTTGGTGAAACATTACATTGTATGTTTCCACATTGGATAGCATCAGTATCATTGACCTGAATATAAAAAGTTAGAGTTGATGAACATAGTAATGATGAAAAGAAAATTTTGTTTTCAGCAGTAATCACATTCCTGAGCCCTAAGTGGACTCCATTAGGCCATGTTAATTAAAGGTGTTCCTTAGCCTAATTAGACCCAGGGGCCTGGTGGCAGTATGATCAAGGAGCCCAGTCATGTGGGAGGTGCCTCCCTGTGGCCAGCCTGGGAAGAGTGTCTGTCACTAGTCACTGTGGCTGGACAGGCCACATGGCTGCAGTGATGTTGAGGAGTGGGAATGCAAATTACAGTGTCTGCCAGAAGGGCACAGGCTCTAAGGTGCTGAGAGACAGAGGTTCGACACTTCAGTCTTTAAGGTTGGCAGTTTCTGAGTTACTTTGCTTCCCATTGCAGATAAGACTTTTAAACTAAGAGTGACATCTGATGACAGTGTTCTTTAATCAGTTTTGACACTTCCCAGAAAGTTAATTATATTCTACTAGTGCTTTTTGAAGAATGATACAGCTTTCTTGGATGGAAACGGTGGGTGGTCATTTGGGATTGAGGTGAAGGGGTGGATAATTAGTTCTGAGTAGGTTGTCTCAGTGGAATACAAGACTTCTCCAAGCAGCCCAGCTTTATTCTATTTTTCCTTGAGGTCTTTTTTCTGTGGTAGTACAATACATATAACATAGAATTATCACCTTAACTATTTTTTAAGTGTAAAGTTCAGTGGAATTAAGTACATTCATATTCGTATGAAACCATCACCACTATCTCCAGAACTCTTTTTTTCTTGAAAAATCGATACTCTATATCCATTCAACATAGGTCCCCATTTGTTTTACATATATACATTCAAATATATACCATTGTATTCAAGTATCTGTGTTCTTTACCATTTTCCTTTTTTTATTCTATTTTAAGAAACTTAGCACAAGATCTGCCCTGTTGACAAACTGTTAGGAGTGCAGTGCGTTGTTGTGACTGCAGGGTCCTTGTTGTGCCTCAGGTCTCCATAGCCTGTTCGTCTCGCTCAACTGAAATTTTGTGCCTTTTGATGATTAACTTCTCATTTCTCTCTCTGCTTCATCCCTGGCAACCCCAGTTCTGTTTCTATGATTTTGACTACTCTTGGAATCTCATATAAGTGGGATCAAGCAGCATTTGCCTTTTCATGACTAGAATATTTTATATAGCATAATGTCCTCAAGATTCATCCATTAGAGCATATATTAGAATTTTCTTCCTTTTTGAGGCTGAATAATATTCCATTGTGCATATGTATATGGCATTTTGTTTATCCATTCATCTGAGAACAGACACTTAGGTTGCTTCCATTTTAGCTATTTTTTGAGGAACCACCTTACTGTTCTCCAAAGTGGCTGCACCCTTTTAACATTCCCACCAGTAGCACATGGGGATTCCAACTTACTCACATGCTCACTGATACTTGACCCACTGCCTTCCAACCTTTAAGGTTTCTGATGAGAAACCTTCAATCTTATTGCTGCTTTCAAGATTACTTCTTTGTCTTTTTCTTTCTACAGTTTGATTATAATGTGGATTTGAGTTCATCCTACTTGAAGTTTGTTGAGCTTCTTGTTTATATTCATATCCTTCATCAAATATGGGGAGTTTTAGGCCATTATTTATTTTTTTTAATCCTCACCCAAGGATATGTTTTATTGCTGTTAGAAAGAAAGGAAGGGTGGAGGCAGAGAGGGAGAAGAGTGGGAGAGAGAGAGAGAGAGAGAGAGAGAGAAACATTGATGTGAGAGAGAAGCATTGATCATTTGCCTTCTGTACACACCCTGACCAGGGATGGAGCCTGCATGCTAGGTATGTATGTACCCTGACTGGGGATCGAACCCACAATGTTTTGGTGTATGGAATGATGTTACAACCAATTGAGCCACCTTGCCAGGGCAGGCCATTATTTCTTTAAATAATGTATTGCCTCTTTTTCTCTCCTTTCCTTCTGGGACTTCCTCAAAGGGTCCTTAGGCTCTGTTCACTTTTCTTTAATCATTGTTGTCTCTGTTCCTCAGACTCAGTCATTTCAATTGTCCTATCTTCAGGTTATTATATTTCTTCTGCCTGCTCAGATTTG